TGTTCTAAAACCTCTGGGTCTAGTAATAATTAGACATTTCTATTATATTTTATTCCACGAGGGAAAAAATAAATTTTTTTAATACGTTGTAAACCTAGTTAATTGTTTATGATACTAGAAAGATGATCTAAAACCTACAGGTCTAGTAATATATTGAGACTGCCATTATATTTTACCTATGAAGGAAAAATAAATTAAAAAATTTATTTTAAATTTATTTTAAGCCTAGTTAAGAGTTTTTAATACTAGATATTCTAAAACTTTTTGGACTAGTAATAAATTGGTGTTGCCCATATACCCCACGAGGAAAAAATTTGAAAATTTTATAAAATTTTGTATTAAGCTTAATTAAAAGCTTTTGATACTAAAAAGATGCTCTAAAGCCTCTGGGTCTAGTAATAATTTGGCACGGAAAAAATAAAATTATTTAGAACGTTGTTTTAAACCTAGTTATAAGTTTATACTAGAAAGATGTTCTAAACCTTTGGGTCTAGTAATAAATTGGCCCTGCCATTATATTTGACTCTTAGGAAGTAAAAATAAATGTAAAAATTTTTAAAGATTTATTTTAAGTCTAGTTAAAAGATTTTGATACTAGAAAGATGTTCTAAAACTTTTGGGACTAGTAATAAATTTGTGCTATCCATTTAACCCGCGAGGAATTATGAATATTTTTTAAAATTTTGTCTTAAACCTAGTTAAAAGTTTTTGATACTAAAAAGATGTTATAAAACCTCTGGGTCTAGTAATAAATTAGCAATGCCATTACATTTTATTCCACGAGAAAATTTTTTATTTTAGATCTTTGCTTTAAGCCCATTTAAAAATTTTTGATATTGGAAAGATGTTATAAAACCTTTAGATTTAGTAAAAAATTTCTAATTTCATTACTTATTAACTCCACGCGTAAAAATCTAGAAATATATAAATAATTATATATTTGTTTTGGGCCCAGTAAAAAGTTTTTGATATTAGAAAAATATTCTAAACCTTAGGGTCTAATATTGATACTGCTATTATATTTTATTCTTTCTTTTTTATAACTTGAGCTGAGTTTTAAATTTATATATTAGAAATGAGCGGTATACAATTTGAAACTCTTTAGGGGATTGGTAGTTGATAAAAAAAGACCGGGCAAGTTGAGAAAGAATTGCAATTTTAAATAAGAAGTTCGGATAAATGATGAATTTATCCTAATCTCAAAATGTTCTTCTATATATGCTAAAAATATTTAACTACTATAAATTTTTAATATCAAATTTGAAACACAAGAATATAATTATTAATTGATTTAATATCATGAATATAATATTTAGCAAATTTCGAACTATTTTTTATAATTTGTGAGTTTTACAAACATTTATTATCTTTATATTTAAATCACGATTATTAAAGCGAGTGTTAGTTTGCTAGACCCCTAAATACTTTCTACTACTAATTGTCGAGTCGACTTAGCCTAAAATCTAGTCAAGTTTTGAATCGCAAAACTCATTTCAGTCGGCTCCGGCTTCAGAGTCGTCTAAGGTTTATTTTGAATCGGCCTGCTATTATATTTACTCCACGATAAATATATTAAAAAATTTAACCCCTATGGTTCGAAAATTTAAATATCGAAATGTATTATTTTAAGAATATGACCATGTTATTATTAATATAATCTAAACCCGACATTTCGCTGATAGATGTCTAATCTTTTGTGTTATCTATGACCACAATCTTATAGCTTACATAATAGCTTTCTGGATAAAATGTTGAGTTAGCCATTTTTAAATTGGCTCAAATCGAGCCGTTTAACAAGACTACCTATACAATTATTTATTCAGACCTGGGTAAGATTTTTTTAAAATATATTATAGGGCAGAAACTGACTTAAAAAATTTATTGAGCTGATATCGCATCTATATACAAATATATATAATTAAGATAAATGATTGTTAGATTTTAATGCTCTGAGCCCATAATTTGGTTGTAAATTTTACGACTAAGCAAATTAACACTATACATAAGTCATTTTGAATTTTAAAATATTTAAATTCTCAAACCATAGTGGTTAAATTTTTTAAATATTTTATCGTGGAGTAAATAATAATAGCAGGCGGATTCAAAATAAATTTTTTCCGACTCTGAAGCCGACTCTAAAGCCGACTCATGCGGCTCATTGAGCCGCTTAATTTGAAATGAGTTTTGCGACTCCAACTTGAGTTCAAAGTCGTAAAAACTCGACTATTTAACAACACTAGCCGACTCTGAAGCCGACTCATCGAGTCGACTCATGCGGCTCATTGAGCCGCTCAATTTGAAATGAGTTTTGCGACTACGACTTGACTTCAGAGTGGTAAAAACTCGACTATTTAACAACACTACTACTAATGCATCATAAATAAATTATAATTTAAATTATTTTTTTTGTAATTGTGTAGATGACTTATCCAAAAGCATAATATTCGTCGAGTAAGAATATTATCATAGACAAAATTTTGAAAACATTTAGATTTTAAGAGATGCTACTAATTAGGAATTAATTATTTTTTATTTATTAGCCCACCTCCTCCCTTTAGTTTTGAAAATAATAATAACTATTTTTGATTTATAAAAGATATCCTTGAAATTATTTATTTATCGTAAGTAGGCTCTTTTATATTTTATAAGTAAAAGTTTGCAAATGCGAAATATATAAACCACATTATCAATATATTTATTATTTTCATGTATAAAAAATAAAAATTTATATGCATAAATAGAGTAACGGTTTTACAGCTGTATGAATTGAGAATACAATAGAACAACTAGTTTAACTATGCAAACCTGAAGATGAGATGCATTAAAAATGTAATTATTATATATTTAAGTATACACAATCTAGTTCCACTCACCATCAGCATTTCTCCTTCTTCATCACAATTCCCACAATGCAATAATGCTTTTACTAATGATATAAATCAATTATCCCTTTATGAAACCATTTTTTACAATCAAAGCTTTAATATCATGATCACATATAATAAACTGATTTAAATCAAAGCTTTTATATCATGATCACATATAATAAACTGATTTGAAGATGGAAAATGAAAATTATAGAAATATTCCAGATAGAAAAAATTAAATTTATCAGTAAATGGATTATATAATTTATGGCAATTGTCAGCAAAAATTTTATCACATTCTACTTATATGAATTTTGACTTACAGAACAATACATAGATTTAGCCATAAACATATCTGTGAATTTTAACCTTAAAGGTTTTCCCTCCTTGAGGCATATTATACCACTATTGCATCTTGGTGTTCAAGTATACACACTCTGGTTCCACTCACCATTAGTATTTCTCCCTCTTCATCTCAATTCCCACAGCACAATAAAGATATTATTAATGATATAGATCAATTACCCCATTGCAAAAACATCTTTGCAATCAAAGCTTATATATCATGATCACATATAATAAACTGATTTGAAGATGGACAATGAAAATTATAAAATCATTCCAGATAGAAAATTTTTAAATTATTAGTAAATGGATTGTATAATTTATGACAACTGTCAACAAAAATCTCTTCATATTCTACTTATATGAATTTTAATTTACAGAACAATACATAGATTTATCCATATACACATCTGTATTCACCTTTACCTTAAATATGATAAAAATTCCTAATCCATGAGCCTACCAGACCTCAGCACAGCATCTACCAAATGTAACTGCCCATCAGGCTTGTTAACGGATCTTTTTAAAACGATCGAATCCAGATCACGATCTTTTCAAAAATGAGGATCGAAATCCAGGATCGACTTTTTTTTAAAAAAAAGATCGCGATCGCGTTCACGATCTTTTTTTCTATTTAAATTCCTGAAGGAAATTTCTGACCGATGCAAAATTAACTAATATATGTTATAAATTTATTGTAATTGAATAATAATATAATAAAACCGATGCAAAATTAACTAATATAAAAATAAATTAAATATGGTAGAAATTTATTGCAACTGAATAATAAATATAACAATTATAATATATTTATTTATAATTAAAATTAGTTTTTAATAATAAAAATTTTTCTAAATTATCATCATTTAAACATCCGCGTCTTTCATTTAGAACATGTTTAGCTTTACTAAACAAGCGCTCCACAGGAGCGCTTGATGGCAAAGGTGTATTATATTCAATAAATATTTTTTTAAAATTAATATAAGTATTAAAAATATTCATGGAATCATCATTTGAATAAAAACTTTTTTTAACGGAACAAGCATTTTGTACAGTATTTTTCCCAAAAAAGCATCAATGTCATCCATACATTCATTTGAGGTCCGCATATGGTTGTTCCTGCATATTTTCCAAATGGGCAACTAATCTTTCTTTTACCATCATATTTTGTGGCAGATTAATATAAGGCCAATTTAGTTTAAATTTAGGGTGAATCATGGCTGCCAAAATGTTACTGTCTTCATACAGTGAAGGAAATCTATATTTTGAAATGATAATTAATTTATTATTAAATAAGTGTTCATTTTATTCATATAAATCAAATCAAGTATCTGCAAAACTTAACCCTTTTAAATTTTACAGTCAAGTCTGGCACATCATCTGTATGGTATTTATTTATATTTGGGTCATATCATAAATATTGATTAAATGTAAACTTAATACTTAATATGCAAAGAACACTATCTACAAGGGGCTGACAATACCGCAGGCAGCTAAATTTCGTTAATTTATCTATCAATATCGATAGAACGGGAGTTAGATTCCCTGCTTCATATTATCCTCCCGTTCCAAGATTTTTAACGAGATCGCCAAAGGTTCCATAACCTATAAAATTTAAATTTATTTAGAGAATATCATTGTATTACTGTTGCATACTCTTTAACAAAAAAACATTCCTCTTGCCTAAACATTGCAAATCCAATTTGATCACATACTTATTCTACTTCTGAAAACTTTTCAGAAAGCATCTTATCTATTAATTTCATGGATTGGTAATAAGAATTCCATCTTGTCTTGTTGGGAGCTATTAAATATCTACCCAATTTCTCCAATAAAATATCCGCCATTTTTGACGACATATTTTGTTTATTAACTAAAGCAAAACATTTTGCAAAAGTGGATCTAGATATTCGTTTATAATTGAGATCACTATCTGCCATCTCCGCATCTGTTGTTGCAATAAGGTTAAGATTATGGCAACAACAACGTTGATGTTTTGGTAGGCTGATAGTAGGAATAATTGGGTCATTAACGGATAATATGTCATCCAAATTTATCAATTCCATATCCTCACTACTATCTTCTTCATTTTCTCCAAAAACTCTAGAAAAAATAAATTTATTTAAATATTTTTTGCTAAATATAAATACTTAAATGCCTTGACAAAGTTGTTTTCATTGTCAATCACCATCTTCACCACCTTATTATGAATTTTATAGAACTTGTGGATACCCATGATTTCGTTAACCAAAACATCATATGTTTGCCACCCAATTATCCTCCTCAGTGCCAAAGCAACTGACCTTCTCTTGAGAGTTTACGGATCCAGCCAATGTGCAGTAAGTCCAATAAAAGCCCTAATAAAATAAACATTATAAAATTCATATAAATATAATATACCTTCGGTGACCACCCCAACAATCAGCAGTGGTGCAAACATAAGAAACTTCAGACAAATCTCTTATAAGATTTGTCGTCATATAAGAGAAGGAAGTAGATATCCTGTTGCCCAGTGTTTGGCGACAAATAATTTTTATCGCAGGAGAAAAAGTTTTAATTATTTTTTCAAATGAAGGATCAACAACCAGAGACAGTGGTTGGAAGGTGTCAATAATAAAATCCATGATAACCTTGTCTGCTGTTTTTTGCGATAGAGCTGGAATGTTTAGATTGTTAAAATTTAATTTAGATTGTCTGGATTTGCAACCAGAACCACTTTGGTTTTGCAGTGATATATTTTTTTGTGTAGAGAATTCGTTGAGGTGTTTGGTAATCTCATTTTTAAATTCACTGTGCTTTTTCTTTATAAAAGAAAAAAATAGTATGTATCTAAGTTGGATGAAAATAACTTCTCCTGAATCAAATTTCATTTTTAAAATTTTATATGGAAATTTAAAGTTAAAAAAAACAATGTACAGGCTGAATGTAAAACCTATATAAACAAAAAAAATGATAAAGGGTTCAACACAAATTTTGTTAAACATATTAAAGTATATTATTTAATTTATATATGGTTAAAAAAGGTTCATATAGGTTATTTTAAATTTTAAGTTTACAATATTGTATTCGTCTATCATTATTAAAAGATGCCCAAGATGTTATGGGCTAAAGATTTTGATAAAATATTTTCCTATATATGAATATAATTAGCCTTTTTGGCATTTAAGAACTATGGATTAAGGGTTCAACAAATTTTGTTAAACATATTAAAGTATGTTTTATTAGTGGTTAAAAGGGGGTAGGTTATCTTAAAAATTTAAGTTTACAATATTGTCTATCATTATAAAAGTTGCCCAAGATAATATGGGCCAAAGATTTTGATAAAGTATTTTCCTATTATGAAAATAATGAGACTTTTTGGCATTTAAGAAATTATGGATTGAATCAAATGATACAAAAAATACTTTCAATTCAAAATATATTATTAAAAAAGCCCTAAAAATGATGTCAAGAGGATTATATAATCAAGCTCAAACTGAAACTATAATACTAATTGATTAGATTTAACATATTATAATAAAGAAATAATAGAATAGATATTTATTTTTCTTTTGGTGAAACATTGCTAAGTTCAATACAAATAACATTGAACTGGATGTTTTAATTATATTAAAGAAAGTCAAAATACATTATAAAGGCTTAATTATTATTTATTACACTTCCATTTATTATAAATACTTTTCTTTTGAAAATTAATTAAACTAATATTATAGTAATATTAAAAAATAAATGCCTAATTATTATATACAAATAACAAAACCAAGATTAACTCTTCATCAAATATTTTATTAATTATACTGTATCTAATAATTCATTTTTTTTATAAAGAATCTGTATCTAGATTCTATTTCTGTAGGACCTGCTCAACTCAGGAATGTAATAAATTAAATTTAAACATGTTGACATTGAGATTATCAAATAAAAAAAATTTAAAAGAATTACTTGTAAATGTCTCTTTAAGTTCGAGGATGATATTGTGGAAGATGATATTATCTTCTTACAGAGACGACATTTGGTGCTGATCATATTATAAGAGTTGCTTTCATCCATTTCACATAAAGTAAAATACTTACGTAATTTCAAAAATGGTAAAAGTTTCTCATTCTAACTTATATCTGCTGTTACATCAATAGTAGAAGCAATAGAATCTTCTAAATCTATAATGGACATTTACATTTACCTATTAAAATAAATATTAATATATTATTATAAATTTATATTAAATAATTTGTAAGAGCTCTAAATCTCGTAAAATTTAGGAAATGAATAAATATATCTATAAAATAAATGGTGGAATGGAAGTTGATAAAATATGAAGATAGATATTTTTTTTAAAAATAATATTTTAATTTAATTTTCAAAATTTTTATTTTATTTATTGCTTTTTAAGTAAAAAATTAATTTTTAAAAAGATCGGGATCGAATTTTAAACAAAATGATCTTGATCCTCAATTTAAGTCAGAATCATAAATCTCGTAAAATTGACAAATTTGCGATCGAATCCCGGATCGTCGATCTTTTGATTCGATGTTTTAACAACTCTGCTGCCCATTATGTAATAAACTTATTAAAGTAACCAAATTGGGGCTATTGCCATCTCATAGTAACCATAAAATAAAGTGTCCTCAATGTGGGCTACCCATCTTATCACCAGCAATTCCTAGAACCCTTAATAACCCATCTTATCACCAGCAATTCCTAGAACCCTTAATACCTTCTCTGCCCTTTCCCTCACAACTAAACAACCCATAGTCACCATTCCCACATCATTGGCTGATGTGTTCACTAGCCCAATAATCCCTACCTTCACTGTCACAAATGCTTCGACGTTTGACCCAGCCGACTCAAATGTAGAAATATTTTTAACGACACCAAAACCATTTGTAATTTCACGAATACCTAAAGGAGCAAGGCTTCACGTTGCGAGACACCTGTCGAAAAACTTGATTACCTTGTTAAATAATTATTATTCTGTAAAACACTGGCTAGACACCCTGTCATTTGCCTTTACTACCTTACAAGTTCCTGATCCTGCCAGCAAAAAATCCCTCACCCAACAAATTAAGGATGCTACTATCTACCCCTTACCCATCAATCACATTACCACATCTTTTACGAGTGATGACACAGAAAAAAATATAAATCACAAAAATGACCTGCTCACCAAGACAAAACGAATGTCTAAAAAATTGGATAACCTGATATTAAATCCGCCATACGTCTGGCAACCTCCGACAATAAGCTGGCTCTCTACGATTTAATAACTTATCAGGCCCTTCTCCTAAAACACCACTCACACGATTTTTAAAATGAAATACTGACTTAGCCTGAAATTCCTCTAATTGAGGCCACTTATACCGCAAGACGTTAGAAAGGCTATTCTCTCCTTCAAACGCGATTCCTCACCTGGGTTCGATGGGTTTCGCCCAATATTCTTACAAGATCTAACCGCACCTTACATAACACAACAATGTGACGTTCTAGATAAAATTACCCAATTAATCAACCGTATGCTTACTGATACGGAGCTAAACTCATCGATCTCCATAAATCCAATAAAGATATTCGCCCAATCGTTATTGGAACCACTTGGCCATGATTAACTGCCAATCTGGTAGTTAGCAGATTATTGTTCACAATATCCAATCACCTTTGCCCGAATCAATTAGGGGTCAACGTAAAAGGTGGATGAAGGTGGATGTGAGGTATCCCTTCACATGACCCGGATATATCTGCAAACGGACCCCACCAACGATATCCTAATAGACTTCTCAAACGCCTTTAACTCTCTAAGACGTGGAGCTTTTTCCTCACCCTCTACTTAGAATTCTCACAATTTATCTTCGATTGTTATGCTAATCCATCGCATCTTAAATTCGGAGATAGATTGATTCCTTCTAGCGATGGGATACAGCAAGGTGACTCTTTAGGTTCCTTTTTGTTTTGTCTGGGCACTAATAGTCTAATACGAGACATTAATGACCAATGCAAGCTAAATCTTCATAACTAGTATATCGACGATGGTATACTAGGCGGCCCACAGACTGAAGTTATGAAGGCAATCCAAATAATAAAATCCAGCGAGAAAAGTTTGGGACTTCGAGTTAATCAAGATAAAAGCGAATATTGTCCTCTTGGGAACATTGACCTTAACCACGATACTATGTTCAATCATACACAATTGAACGCTTTAACACATCTCGGATCTCCAGTAGGTAAAGACGAGTCTTTTATCAAGTTCTTTGCCGATATTCTACGAGAGATATCCCTTATGCGCGATACACTATCTCGCCTCCCAGCTCACCAAGCTTTCTTCTTATTAAAGAACTACCTTTTAATTCCAAGAATTTTATATACACTCTGAGCGTCACGGATCTTTCAATATGACGTCAACCTCGCTTCACACGAGCTGGAGATTAAACGCCTAACAGAAGATATACTCAATCTTAAATTTGGGGAATTATCATGGCTACAGGCTACCTTACCACCAAATCCGGCGGCATTGTTATAAGGTCACCTTCTTACTTTCTGTTAGTGCGTTCATATCCTCTCGCCTGTCCTTTGAGCCCATCATTCAAACACTAACAAAACATCCTGACCCCTTACTCCTACAACAGGGAATTGATCTATGGAAGTCCCTCTCATTAGTCGATCCTCCATCGTCGGCATTACAGAAGGATTGAGATAAACCTCTAGTTGGCAACTTCGTTGCATTCCTTAAATCGAGGAGCAAACCAGAGGACCATTCTCTACTCTTCTCCATTTCCGAGTGGAAACGAATTTCTTGAGGCTTTCCCATCCCGAAACCTTGACCAGCTCCTAAGCAATGATGAGCTACGTCATGCCTTCGGACTTAGACAGAATTGCGATATGATAATACCTTATCACTGTATCCTCTGTCAAACGTCAGTCAACTCAAAAGGCCGTCACTCACCTCTACACTGCAAGCGCTGTAGAGGCAGATTCATTAGGCATTCAAAATACAATGATACCACTGCCAGGGCCTTAAAATCCGCCGGCATCCCATCAACCCTCGAACTTACTGGCCTTTACAATTCCGACGGTAAGCGGCCCGATGGTTCGACTATGATCTCTTGGAAGAGAGGGGAATTCCTAACTTGGGATTTCTCATGCATCGATCCTCTTGCCCCTTCCAATATAAATAGAGATGCAATATTAAATGCCGAGGCGAATAAATCATCTAAATATTCGCTATCTCTTCCCGCCAATTATACATTCCTATCAGTAATCGCTACTACTCTAACGTCGTCCGGCTCTCATGCCCTAAACTTCTTTAAAAAGCTAGGAAAACGGATCTCTGCTAGGACCGAGGATCCCAACGAGGGATTCTACTTATGCCAACGATTAGCCATAAACATAGTAAAATACAATCATCTCATCTTTATTTTTTCAATATCCGAAACCCCGTAATTGAACATCTTATGCATAGTATAGACTTTGGCCATTTTGTTGATAATAATGTTAGCGCTAAAAGGAAACTTGAATCTCAATCAATAAAAAAAATAGCAAGAATTAATGACTTTAAATTGTGATTTACTAATATTATATTTTTTTAAATATTATTATAACTTACCTTGATATAAATTGTCGATATAACGAAATTATAACTTTTATTAATTAAATAATCCTTAATTTTTTATATATATAGTATGTATTGAATTGTTGTTTTATTATTTTTGTAAAATGTTTATTTTTATTATTATATATTATCATATGAATTTGAATAACAAAAAATTAGATTATTATTTTTTGAGATAAAATAAAATTGCGAGAATTCCATTACTACAAAAAATACAATACAAAAGATTTCTATATTTCCATCATTATAAATAGACACAACAATCTATTTTTTTTTCTTTAAAATTATATATATTTATATTATGTTTATTCAAATAAATTGCTTAATTATCTAGTATTTGAATTAATAGTAACTTAGTAGCATCCAATATAGCACACGCCCTTTTATAATTTTTAAATAATATACTCCATTTTTAATGTAAAATTAAACGAAAATTTTCACAAAAAAAATTACCACCAATATACACGATTGCATATTTACTATTTTTTTTAAAAAAAAAATAAATAAAAAATATTAAAAATTTCCCCTAGTTTCAGTGACTCATCAAACATTTTTTATATATGGCCTTATTAATATCAGGGATTTGTAGAGGTAACATATGCATGGCCCTGATTTTTTAAAAAATAATTTTTGTCCCGGCTCATATTTTAAAACAAAAATTAGGCCCGACCCAGATTAAAAAAAATATTTTCGGTGTGACCCAAAGTCTGGCCAACCCAGATTTTTTGAATATTTTTTTAGGTCTAATAACCATCTTTCATTTGTTTGAGTTGACTATTGATATTTCTATCTTCAATATCAACAAAGTAAATTATTTTACCTTATATGTATATATCTATTTTGTCTCCTGTTGGAAGTGGACTCCAGATCTCTTAGGTAGCTCATGTGCTTATTTTTAACTACAAGTGTAAATAAATTTAAAAACTCTTTTACTCTAGTCTAATACTTTGTTTTAGAAAAATTTTATGAAAAATATTTTAGTTTTTAAAATAACTTATACATTTTAAATTAAAAACATCTAAGATTAATCTTTCTTTAATTAAAACATCTTATACATTATTAAATAGAGATAAATAAAATAAGAGATTAATATAGATTGATGCTGCCATAACTTAAGAGTTTAAATTATATTAAATGGCATCCCCCATAACTGTGTAATAAATAATTTGCAAGGTTTTTATTTTATAAATATGTAATGTAGAAAATTTCTATAAAGATTTATGCAAATTGTAAATAAATATGCAACATATCTGACATAGTAGTTAAGGTTTATAACTGTTCTAAGATATTCTGGAAATATAATATCTGATCGACTAAATAATCATTTCTATAAAAATGATCATGGATAGTTACCTAACAATTCTATTATCAAAATTTCCTTAATTTCATTGAACATTTTATTCTAATTTAATACAGAAATATAAATTAATATATTTATATCAAAAAGTGATTTAATTAATCAAAAAATTCTTTGCTTAAAAATTAGATAAAAAGGTATTTAGTAAACTCTGCAAGATATGATGCCATATCAAACTATTTTAACTTTTAGCATATAAAATTAGTATTGTTAAATGGCTCAATTTTAGCCGATTTTTAAAAACGTCTAACTCAATATTTTATCTAGAATAATATTACACATACCTGAAGATTTTGCTCATAGATGGCACAAAGGTCTAGATATCAATTAGAGAAATCTCGAGGCTTAGGCAATATTTTTCTGGCTAAAATATTGAATTAGTAGTTTTTAAAAATCGGCTCAAAACGAACTGTTTAACACTATATAAAATACACAATTCATCTAATACTTTATCTCAAGAGTATGTTTCTGGTTAAAAATTATTGCATAAAATTTTACTTAAAAAACAAAAAACGCATGAATTAAAAAATGTTTTATGGAAAAATACATTTACAAGCCATATTTGTTATTTCTCACTTTGAAAATGCCATAAGGAGGAAGAATACCTTTTTTGACTGTGAAAACATTTCTATATACCGACTATAGCTGGAAATGTCAAATAACAAAATTAAAATAGGGGCACTGATATTGGACTTTTAAGAAAAATATTGAACTGATATTTTTATTTTTTTTAACCAATACTAATATATTATAATATTTTTTATTTTATTTTTATTGTTATATATTTTATTTTATTATTATACACATTTTCTATTTATTCACATTTTTAATTTTAAATAAACTTTCCATTTGTCATAATAAATTTTCAAAACTCACATAAAAAAAGTGTGAAGGAAGACACCTTATAAAAAAAAATTTTATTGATAGAAAAAGTAAAGTATATTAATAAATTAATAATAGTCAAAATTTTTGTGTATTTGTTTATTTCATTGTTTTTATTAAGGAATTATTAGCAAATAAAAATGTTGCAAATTTAAATTATTAACTTTAGTATAACTTTGGATTGTAATATATTATTTTTAAAACATTTTATTTTTATATTATGTTAGAAATATGGAAATTAAATTTATTCGTAATATATAAAGATTTTACAAGATGCCTTATTAGCAATGCTCCATTTTGAAAGGTGGCAAAGATAAAAAATTTAATACCATAAATTTATGTAAGAATTTAGAGATATATAATTATTAAGGGCTATAACTTAATAAAATATGAGATCATTTGCTCCATTTATTAAATAGAAACCTTTATCTACAAATAGATAAGATTTATTTTATATTTATAAAAGCTCTGAGGCCATTTCCTGGTTTAACTTATATCTGTTTAACTAGGCTAAACAGCTTTTTAACTTAGAAACTATATTTTGGCTTGTTTTAAGTGTTGTCATTATTTTTAGTATTTTCTTTTATTTTTTTTCTTTCTTACTTTTTAGGTTTAGTTGAAGCTATATAGCTAGCTAAACAGCAGGTTATTTTAAGTCAAACCAGGACACACCTTGACACTTTTTTTTTAATTTTAAGAGCAAGGATAAGTGTATATTCTGATTAAAACACTTTAAAAAAAGTTATTTATAGATTTTATTATTCCATTATCTTAAATAAAATAATGAAAAAAAAATAATCTAAATATTGGATCAGTATTGGGACAATATGGGATAAATATTAGATAAGAGAAAAAGTTGTGGATCTGTGTAGCCCTATTATTAGTCAAACTAATTATTATTCATCTTTAAAAAATATAAATTATAAGAAATATATCAAAAAAATTTCATGATTAATAAATATAAGTATATAAATAATGGATATATTTGATTGCTTTAATTGGTCAACTTTCAAAACTAAAAAAAACTATAAAAATGTCAACAAAAATTATGTACTCTTTTTAAGAATTCTTCTGCTGATAACCGGGCCCTTGTGTTTAAAGAAAGCTTCATGTCACTAATTTCCTTGTCAATTTCCTCCATAAAATATATGATAAAATCTACCAATTTATGTTTATACATTGTTTCAACATGTAAATTTGTCACTAGAAAACTGATGTTATAACCCTTAAATTATTTAATAAACAAGGCATAATAAAATAGCTATACAGGCAAAGGTTTTTTTCTCAAAATTGAAAAGTTATCAGCACGTAGTATTAGAAATTTGGTGAATATTCTGCATAAAAATTTTTCAAGCTCATCTGCTTGTTTGATTGCAATATTAATACGTATTGAATTAATAGATGGTTCTATCAAAACCTTTTCTTTCTCATTCCTACTAATCAATAGAGGATTCATAACTAATTCTTTATTACATCTTCAAAGAGCAATAAAGGAATAAAAATAATGAATATACTTTATTTCAACTTCAGGTTTATTATGTCGTTCAACTACCTGCGATGAAAAATTTTCAATACACATCGCTGCTGATAAAGAATGTCGTACAGCATTTAAATATGGCTTAAGAGTGGTAGACTAAATAAATATGAAAAATTATAAATTATTTTAAAAATTACCATTTTCTTAAGATTTGCCTAATATAATCGTAAGTTCGTCCACTTTTCTGATTGGTCCATTTAATAATTGTAAATTAAATTATATCTTAACTATGGTTAAAAATTACCTGGAATTATCTATTATACTAAATAAATGCATAAATAAAATAATTATTCGCATAAAATTTTTTATTTTTTTTGACCGAAATGGACAAAAATACGATCCAAATCTTATGTAGGAGGCTCTCCCTTTCTGAAAATGTTATGAATGCATGTTTTGTTATTAATTTAAAAAATAAGTAATGATTTTAATAGTTTGGTATGTGAGAATCGGCAGTGTTTTGGAAAGGGGGCTACAGGGGGCCAACCTGTTATTTATATTTTAGTCTCCTTTCCAAATCCCCCCCCCCTCACAGAGCCACAAAAAATTAAATTTTCCCAGAAGTGGTAAATTTGAATTTTTTTCTCATTTAAAAAATGAAAATTTTTATCTTTTTTATATTTTTTTATAGCCACATAGAAGATAGAGAAGCAAAATATTGTATTTTCAATATATTGATTTTTATTTTCATTCCATATTTTATTGTCAACTAAAATGTAAATTATTTTCCTTATTTTGATAATTTATATTAAAAATCGGCCTGATGATAAGTTTTTAAAATTTATTCTTTGTCAGAAACACCGACTCACGGGAGCGGTGGGGCTCTCGAATCATTGAAATATTCAAAAGCAGATATTATTGACCTATTAATATTTTAAATATCATTTTTTTTGAAAAAGTTATAATTCCCTATAGAAATCTTTATAAGTCCTTTGTGATTCATTTAAAGTATAGAGTGAGGTTCAACGCCAGAAAGTAATGATGATAAATGGCTCAATTTTTATCAGGTTTAAAGCCGATCTATATAATTTTTTTAAGCGAAACTATCATATAAGCCTAGGTTGAGACCTAAACTTATAGGATGCTCAATTTTTTAGAAAAAAATACTCTTGCCTCAAGGTGTTTGACTGCTAGGATAAAGCTGATTTATCAACACTAAAGGCAAATAGACCTATTTTAAAAATTTTTCAAATATTTAGATAAATTTAAAAATTTTAAATAGGTAGTTTGTTAGTTATTAGGTTAGTCAGTTTAATTGATATATTTTTTTTATCCAGTTCTAAGCCCTTTTAGCAATAAACCATTTTCATTATTATTGATTATTAGGTAATATTTAAAAATATTAAATCATTAGGAACATGTTGACAATCATGTTTAAATGTATATAGATGAACATTTATAAGATTCAGAAATTAAACTTCTATATAAAAATATACCAATAAGAAGAATTCAAAAATAGCAAGATTAAATTTGATCAATTTATAATTACTCTAGAAAGCATTATGCAGTACAGCTTCATGGATAGCTTTGATGAGGATAAAATAACTTTAATTATAATAAAAAAAAGATTTATTTTAAAAATTCTTTTTGATATATTCTATATTCAAAAAGAAAATTTGCAAAAGAACCTAGACGTACGATTTGGCGATGAGCAAATATAAAGAATCAGTTAAGAATTCAAATTAATTGAATATGAAATGATTGCGCTCAATGTATTAATGAAGATGCTCCTAATGAAAAATTTAAAAAATTCCTTAACTGTGTATATAATTTATATTGTAATCCTGCCGAGTGTGAAAGTGGCTTTCATTTTATGAAATTGTTTCTAGTAGATAAGAGTGATTTAATTAATAAATAATTTGTCAAATTTTATGTTCATAAATATTAATAGAACTTCGAATTCGGTGGATTCCAGATCCATATCTAAATATAGAAAGGGAACTATGCCGAACTATGCGGTTTAAGCTAAGGCCTGATCCCAAGCTTCGCGGACCACGTTAATAATTAGCCTAGGAAAAATGGTCACAAAAAGTAGCTTGTGGAAATGTAACTTGGCCAAAAAAGTGCAGGAAAAATTATATGGAATAATTTCAAGTTTAAAAGTCTTCAGAACAATAATTTATATTTATATTATAGGTTACCTTGTTCGCCTGGAATTTTTTATTCCTAGCCTGTGAAATAATTTTATATAAATTGTTGGCACAGCCCGTAATTTTTGTGAAGAAAAAAATTATAAATTTGATTTATTTTAGGTCTAAAAAATATTTGGAAATTTCAGGCAACTCAAGGAAGTATTTCGCAAATATTGTTCGATCCGAAAATTTTTGCGAAATTTTTACGGTTAGCCTATTTTCTTTTAAGCCAAAAGCATGCTGGTCAAGAGTTCGACAGAATATGTACATGCACATCTCTGTAGATTTTCTTTATAGTAACATTTATTTGCATGAGAATTAGAACATTCTATCTCAACTAGGAGAGTAATTCAAAAAAATTAAGTTTCTATCGTTTTCAATGGGATGGTTGACCTTATATCGGATTTAATTTGAGTTATTTAAAATATTTCGGATATATTAATATAAATAGAATGGTATAGTTATAAAATATTGAATTATGTAAAAAAAATTATTCTTTACAAAAAGTGGATATAGAATATTTAATTCTAAGGCGATGATTTGTGGAAATTAGTTAAAAAATTTTTAAAAAATATAATGATACTTTAATATCTTCCAAATTGATGACTTACTCTAAATATTATATTCTAAGTTGTTTAGCAATTTTCAGTGTGTCATTCATTCATCATACAATTGTTTATCGAACACAATTTTTAAAAGGGATCATATGGTAGGTATTTCGTTTTTAAGATGTTTGTTAATTAGAGGATAAAATAATTACATGCTACAAATTTTCATTATTCATCTGAGAATTAGAATCTTTTTCGTCCTTAATATAACCCTGAAGATTGGCCCGAATTACAGCACGGATCGGCTCAATTTTATATATTATTAAGTCTGAACCAACCATTATATTTTGGGGAAACATTTTCCAAAGATGCACAAGCATAGTTGACTACTTTTTATGTTTCTGCGACTAAATAATAAATGCATTAAGGCTACATCTAGTATTAGATAACATTTTTAAATATTATATTACAAAATTTAGACGAAGTGTCAAGTTAACTACTAGGGAAGCAATCGAAAAATTTTTTTTTAACATTTGTCAAACTATAAATAAATAGAATTTGTCTTTATTTTTGAGTAAAATGATCAAGTACTGAATTATGAAAGTTATTGGTAAATTTTAAATTTTTTAATAATTTTTTTTTTCAATCGAAATCAAAGATAGATTTAATAAACAATTTTGACTCATCCTGTTTCAACAATAATATTTGATTCGTTTTAAAGATGAATAACCCCGGTCTGTACTTGCTGTTGTTTGAGCCAAAGTTCAGATAATTTCTTTAAAACTTTTCATCAAATCGGTAAACATTCTTTTTCTTACAAAATTCATCGTCCTGAAACACTGCCTTTAATTCGGTTTCCATCTTGTGTAAATCCAAAAATAATAAGTGTCATTTAAATTGTCGAAAAATTTTTTTGGAATATTTTGATTAAATATTTGGAATTTACAAATATCTAACAATTCGAAGAATTTGATATTTTTTATTGTATCGAACCGAAATTTCATTGATTATATTATCTGTTATTTTCATTTTCAAAATTTTTTTGTATAGGGCAATCCGGATCTATTAGGTTTTTTTATCTAAATTGCCTTCAACATATTCTTTTCCATTTTAATTTCTCCATAAAAATCAAATTTTCTTTATTTGATTTAACTAAATTTTAATATTTCAGACGAAATAGAATTAATTAAATTATTTTGAATATCGCTTGATAGTCCAATAAAAACTATACAATTTTTTTAATTGATGCTGCAATAATAAATTTTCTTCTGCGAGCAAATAATAAATTTATTCAATATAATTTCCTCTATTTACTGAATTAGAAGATTTATCATCACCACGGAATTCTAGGTCCTAAATTCCAAGATGACATATAGAGTTGATCAATATTTCTCTATTTGATTTGACTTTCCAATTATGATGTTAGATTGATATTTTACACATCGAAGCTATCATATTTACAATAAGATTTTTGGCAATCGACTGCAAATGAGTGGTTGATTCTTCGTTGAAAAATTATTCATTACAGAAAAAAAGTAAGAGTTATGTATTATGATATATATGGGATGTCGAATAGAAAGGAGAAAGTGGAAATGGAGAGCATTCATTCATTTTTTATATAATCATAAGTAGTGTTGTTAATCGACTAAATTTAGTCGACTCACACACGACTAACTAATAGTTTTAGTCGAAAAATTCGACTAAAAACTTTAGCAACTAAATTAGTCTATTAGTCGACTAATTTGGTCGACTAATTTAGTCGACTAAAACGACTAATTTAGTCGACTAAAACGACTAATTTAGTCGACTAAAACGACTAATATAGTCGACTAAAACGACTAATATAGTCGACTAAAACGACTAACATAGTCGACTAAAACGACTAAAACAACTAATATAGTCGACTAAAACGACTAACATAGTCGACTAAAACGACTAATTTAGTCGACTAAAACGACTAATATAGTCGACTAAAACGACTAATTTAGTCGACTAAAAGAACTAATTAAGTCGACTAAAAGAACTAATTAAGTCGACTAAAAGAACTAATAAAGTCGACTAAATTAAGTCATTAAACATAACATAATCCTTATTTTTGATAAATTTTTTAGGTAAAAATATATGTTGTAAAGATGTAAAAATAAAATTTCAGTGAAGATGTACCATCATAGAAAAATATTAATTGTTATTTTTGAAAAGTAAATAGATAAAAATATATTTATTGTAAAAGTGTTAAAATAAAATTTCAGTGAAGATGTACCATAGAAGAGTGACAATTATCATAATCGTTATTTGTGAACTTTTTTGAATTTTTTTAAAACAAATAGGTAAAAATATATATTGTAAAGATGTTAAAATAAAATTTCAGTGAAGATGTACCGTAGATAGGTGACAATTATCATAATCGTTATTTGTGAACTTTTTTGAATTTTTTTAAAATAAATAGGTAAAAATATATATTGTAAGGATGTTAAAATAAAATTTCAGTGAAGATGTACCGTAGATAGGTGACAATTATCATATTCGTTATTTGTGAATTTTTTGAATTTTTTTAAAATAAATAGGTAAAAATATATATTGTAAAGATGTTAAAATAAAATTTCAGTGAAGATGTACCGTAGATAGGTGACAATTATCATAATCGTTATTTGTGAACTTTTTTAATTTTTTTCAAAATAATAGGTAAAAATATATATTGTAAAGATGTTAAAATAAAATTTCAGTGAAGATGTATCATAGAAAAGTGACAATTGTCATAATCGTTATTTGTGAACTTTTTTGAATTTTTTTAAAACAAATAGGTAAAAATATATATTGTAAAGATGTTAAAATAAAATTTCAGTGAAGATGTACCATAGAAAAGTGACAATTGTCATAATCGTTATTTTTGAACTTTTTTGATTTTTTTTAAAACAAATAGGTATAAATATATATTGTAAAGATGTTAAAATAAAATTTCAGTGAAGATGTACCAGAGAAAAGTGACAATTGTCATAATCATTATTTTTTAACTTTTTTGAATTTTTTAAAAGCAAATAGGTAAAAATATATATTGTAAAGATGTTAAAATAAAATTTCAGTGAAGATGTACCGTAGATAGGTGACAATTATCATAATCGTTATTTGTGAACTTTTTTGAATTTTTTTAAAACAAATAGGTAAAAATATATATTGTAAAGATGTTAAAATAAAATTTCAGTGAAGATGTACCATAGAAAAGTGACAATTGTCATAATCGTTATTTGTGAACTTTTTTGAATTTTTTTAAAACAAATAGGTAAAAATATATATTGTAAAGATGTAAAAATAAAATTTCAGTGAAGATGTACCATAGAAAAGTGACAATTGTCATAATCGTTATTTGTGAACTTTTTTGAATTTTTTTAAAGTAAATAGGTAAAAATATATATTGTAAAGATGTTAAAATAAAATTTCAGTGAAGATGTACCGTAGATAGGTGACAATTATCATAATCGTTATTTGTGAACTTTTTTAATTTTTTTCAAAATAATAGGTAAAAATATATATTGTAAAGATGTTAAAATAAAATTTCAGTGAAGATGTATCATAGAAAAGTGACAATTGTCATAATCGTTATTTGTGAACTTTTTTGAATTTTTTTAAAACAAATAGGTAAAAATATATATTGTAAAGATGTTAAAATAAAATTTCAGTGAAGATGTACCATAGAAAAGTGACAATTGTCATAATCGTTATTTTTGAACTTTTTTGATTTTTTTTAAAACAAATAGGTATAAATATATATTGTAAAGATGTTAAAATAAAATTTCAGTGAAGATGTACCAGAGAAAAGTGACAATTGTCATAATCATTATTTTTTAACTTTTTTGAATTTTTTAAAAGCAAATAGGTAAAAATATATATTGTAAAGATGTTAAAATAAAATTTCAGTGAAGATGTACCGTAGATAGGTGACAATTATCATAATCGTTATTTGTGAACTTTTTTGAATTTTTTTAAAACAAATAGGTAAAAATATATATTGTAAAGATGTTAAAATAAAATTTCAGTGAAGATGTACCATAGAAAAGTGACAATTGTCATAATCGTTATTTGTGAACTTTTTTTGAATTTTTTTAAAACAAATAGGTAAAAATATATATTGTAAAGATGTAAAAATAAAATTTCAGTGAAGATGTACCATAGAAAAGTGACAATTGTCATAATCGTTATTTGTGAACTTTTTTGAATTTTTTTAAAGTAAATAGGTAAAAATATATATTGTAAAGATGTTAAAATAAAATTTCAGTGAAGATGTACCGTAGATAGGTGACAATTATCATAATCGTTATTTGTGAACTTTTTTGAATTTTTTTAACAAATAGGTAAAAATATATATTGTAAAGATGTTAAAATAAAATTTCAGTTAAGATGTACCATAGAAAAGTAACATTTGTCTATTTTTCAACTTTTTAGCTGAAACGAGCAGACTTTTATTTACTCCCCTTTATCTTATTGGGCGAGCTAGCTAAATAATATCAAAAATTACGAGCGGACCGGTTAAAAATTTTTTACTTTTAATTTTTATCTAAAATTTATCAGGTAACATTAAAAAATATATGCTTCATAAAATTTTAACATTTGTCCAAAGTACAAATAATTGTTGTGGATGTTATATGTGGGAAAAGCCTATGAGATTAAAAAACTTCTTATTTTATTTACATGGATGAATATAAATCGACGTGAATAAAAATATGATTTCACCTATGGCCCAAAAGAAAAGAAAATTTAATTATTAAATTTTAAATGCACTGTTTGAAATAGGTAGCATCCACGTCAAGATTAAATCACAACATAAGATTAGATGAAGTTATGAGATGAGAGCACACTTTTTAATTACATAACCATTTAAATTTTAAAGTAAGTTTATTGATATTTTAAGGCTTAGCACCATTTTTTTGTACATTTCTTTAATTTATTATTTTAGAAAATATAAATCCCTTCTCTTTCTCAATTATTTAAAATTTGTAATAATAATTTAGCAATATTTTTTGATTCTTTAAAATATTTCATTAAAATGTATTATTTATATTATATTTATTATTTTAAATTTCAATGATTATAACGCCTCGATGGCACCAGTAAGTTTTTGTATAAAATTTTTATTTTTAAAAAAATTCTTATTTTAATTTATATTTAAAAAAAAAATCTTTTTTAAAATAATTTACATTTATAATGAGTAGTTTATCTTTATCTTCTTCTTCAAGCAATGCCATTACTATGATGGATTCTCAAGAGATAGTAGAAGATGAAGTAATTTATATTAATTTTATATTTAAAACTTATAAACCCAATGTTTTATAAAAAAAAGACCTTATTTAGAGATTTAGAGTTAGAAAATACTAATACTATTATGGATTCTCAACAGAAGAATGAAGATGATGTAAGTTTTAATATTTTTTTATATATTTAATTTAAATTATTATACCTAATTAGTGTTTTCGGCCTGGGTTCAAGCCGGTTCAGAAGTTATTTAATATGATACCAATTTAGAGAAATGATAAAAATATTTTATTCAAAAATAGCGCACGGGTCGGGCTTCAGTCGACTCATGACTAATTAACCGGTTTGAATATGAGTCGTTTTGCCGGCCTCGGTCAACTATTTAGCAACAAAAGACATTGTGTTGTTAAAAAGACAGTTCACCCGACTCAGAGTCTCTAGACGTTATTCGAATTAGTTGATTAACTCAAGTCGACTCTTTTATAGTCAAAACAATTGGTCCCTTTATTTTAAACTCTTATCTATATAGGAGAGACTGGGGTTATTCGAACCAATTTTTAAAAAATTGGCAGCTCCTATGATTAGATACCTAAATCTATATTCTATAAAGGTGCCTTATAAAAATCTTAAGATTATAATTATTTTTTTAAATTTTAATTTTTGTAAAAGTGATAATTTTGTTCAACAAGTCCCGATAGCAGGGTGAGGCAAACCACTTCAAGAGGCTTCCTAAACCATTGGTTTTTTAGGCGATAAAATATTGAAATGCATTTTTATTTATTAATAATGATATGTATTGAATGATTTTATTGTTCAAAATATGATATTACTTATAAATTAAAGCTAATAAATAATATATAAAAATCGAAACTTAATTTTTTCAAATTTAATAAACATTTTGGACATAAAAAAATATGAATTAGAGATTAAGATTTCTAAGTATTCCCAAACCAATCATACCTGTGATGAAGTACTTAAGTGCCTTAAGTCCTTTAAAAAAGGGAAAACAGGTGGGTTGGATGGTTTTAGACCTGGTTTTTTTGCTGATTTATCAGTGCTATGATAATGGTTTTATTGACCATTTGATGAAATGATTAACTAAACATTGCAATAATATCCTCTTATGAGAAGTTCCTCTTTGTATTCGTCTAATTCTTTTTGGCGCTCGTCTTGTTTCTTTAACCAAGCGGGATCACGGCGGCAAAAGACTTGTCTGGGATGTCTCGCGTGTTACCTCCTTTCCGTCTAACGGAAATACCGAACCCCTGGAACTCCAAGAACTCGATAATAATAAATATAGATTCCTCCCTAATTCTTTTATATTTATTCCCCTAATTTTTAGCGTTCTGGGAAACCCCGGTCCCCATTCCCTAAAGTTCTTAAATTAATTGGGTAGAAGAATTGCATTAAGGACAGGGGTCAAAAACGAGTTCTTATCTCTTAAACAAAAAATCCAATTCGAAATCCTAAAAATGTTTCTTCGAAACCTCCCTTTTCCCTCCTAGTTCAGCACCTATAATTTGCAAAATATTTTTTTTAGCGGCTTAAATCAGGATTGTGCATTTGACCGGTCAAATAAATTTCGGTCAATTGACAGATATTTGACCGGTAAAATATGGTCAAATTCAAATATATGTTTTTTAAGTTAATATCTATATTATTAATTTTTTAAATTCATTGTCATTAAATAACTAACATTTAGCTATCCGTAACAGATTCTTGTTTTGATTCATATTCAATATTATTATTTTCTTTAATATTTTTTAATCAATTTTCCTGATGTCTTAGATCTTCAATCGATTTTTATTTTTATAAAAATATTAACCCAAATCGACCTATTTCCTTCAAAATAAGAAGTAGAACTAGGAATTATTAATTTCTTAATGTGGTGGGCAAAGTTTAATCTATTAACTTGAGGTCGGAATTGATTGTTTTTGGAAATTATTATTTTCCTAATTCGCTATATTAAACATGCTGTTTTTGCTTTTGAAATTAATTATATCACTTAAAATATTTTGGTCATCACTATCTTGTAAAATAGCTAATTCTAGAATTATATCACATACTTCATTAAATTCACTACTAGTGAGATTCCCCTCTTGATATTGTTGACCCAAAAAATAAGCAAAAATTGTGATCAATTTGACCGTATTTGACTAGGTCAAATACTCCTTTGGTTAAGTGACTGATTAATTGACCGACTTGCCGTAAATTTTTTCTTAAATTAAAATAAAAATACCCCCTCTCCCTCCCCCCCCCCCCCCCCACGTTTTGGTAAGAAATATAATTTTAAAAAAAAATACAATGAATTTTACTTAAATTAAAATAAAAATACCCCCTCCCCCCCCCCCCCCCCCCGTTTTGGTAAAAAATATAATTTAAAAAAAAACAAAACAATGAATTTTATATGCCAAAAAATAAAATTATTCCCCTCATTCCCTTTAGGTGCCAGCTAGGCGTTAACAAATTATAAGAATAAAAATAGTTTAAGTTATTTATTTTTAAAATTATTATAAAAAATATAAACAATTAAATATATTTTTTAAATTATGATCCCAAATTAAATCATTGAGAATTTAATAAGTTATTTTATTAACATTGAATTTATATTTTTATAGAGTCTTATAAAAATAATTAAAATTGAAAGTAATATTTCGTTAACAGATATTGATGATGGTTAGGATAATTTTACTTATTGATAATATAGATATAGATTCGCCCACAAATGCACTCCACATAGAACTTGATAATATTCATGAAGGTGCTAATATTTATACAGTTACTGCTTTATTAATGGCAGGTAAAATTAGTAAAAGAAAAATAGGGAGACCTTTAAATGAAACTCCTAAATTATAAAAAGGTTCTAGGTTATTTCAGGTAATATCATAAGTTAGATGATAATATAGGACATTGGCCAGAAGCGTCCAAAACTCGAAAAAGGTGTAAACTATGTGTTAGCGTATATTCAAGGACTAAGTGTGAAAAATGTGAAATTTATTTATATTCTAACCAGAATATAAATTGTTTCAAAACTTTTCATAATAAATACATATATATTTTTTTATACATGCAATTCGCTCAATGATGTCAAATTGTATCGTGATTTTTTTTTTACCTGTAAACTATGAAAAAAAAAGTAGAAATAAAATTTTACATCCTTAGTATATATTAATGAAGATTTTTTATAAAAAATTTTTTTTAGTTTTATTTTAAAAAGTCGAGCTTTAAAGGGTTAATTTAGAAATTAAATTTTTGATTAAATTATATTTCGTTGAATACAATTTTTAAAAATTGGAATTTTTAAGTTTTTTTTCAAAACTAAATTGATAGTAAGTATAAAGATACTGTAAGCACTGGATTACGTAGTAATTAACAAATATAAATTAAATGGTAAATTTTTTAAAAAAAATATTTTTTCAAAGGGAAAAGGCTAACATTTTAAACGTAATTTTAATTATTTTTATATCATTGAACTAAGAATTAAATTCTCTATCCAAAAATGCTTAGATTTTTTGGATTGTGATTTTAATTCTGAGTTCATTGATATAAAAATACTTAAAATTTCCTTGGATGATACTGTGTATTTTTTAAATGTTTTACGTTTTTGTTTTTACACCATTTAATAAATTCATTTGAAATAAATTGTTGACCATGGTTATACTCATTTTTCTAATCTATTTATTCAATTCTTACTTGAATCTTTAATTCTATCGATCTCGATCCATTATAAGTATGCAGCAATTCCTACCAGAGTCATTTTGGGGAGTCATTTTGGGTCGATTTTTCGCCCAAAAATTAACCCAATAAGTACATTAACAACATTAACTATACACAATATTTTATAGAATCAAAAGGCCGATAGTATTCACAATGCAGTAGAAAATAGTTATGAAATCATAAACAATGAAGGAATCAATATTCGTGGGTTTGACACAGATTCAGATGTAATATATTTCGATAGTATAAAATTTTAAAAATATATAATATAATATAACCTTTTTTTTATAATAACAATAAATCACAAATGATAAAATATGTTTATGTATATAAATAATATATAGATAGAGCCTTTGACTAGCCAAGATGCTATTATATGTGACTTATCACAAATTTCAGATATATCTACATCTAGTAAGTTAAATATTTCCAATGTATTCAAGATGACTCCGAAAAAATCTCGCCGAAAGTGTATATACTGCAATACACATTACAGTTTAAATACAGCCTCAAGTATGTATTATTAAAATTTAATATACGATTATAATATATTTTTAGCAAATTAAAGAGGCACATTTCTAAATCACATTCGCATTTAAAAATGGAAAACAAAAACAAAAAAAGACATTCATTAGTGGGGATAAGAAATTTAGTATCTCACGAAAATACACAATTGAATAAATTAATTATGAGATATATTATAAAATGTAACATCTCATTTAATAAAATAGAATCTCCATATTTCAGAGATATTTTCTCTTTTATATTTAAAAATGAGAGAATATGGTGCAGGCAGACGGCTGCCTGCTATGTTAAAGATTTATATAAAAAATCTAAAAATAAAATTATTAAAGACCTTAAACAGGTCAATAGTAAAATCTGCCTTACAACGGACATATGGACCGGAATAAACTCAATATCTTATTGTTCTATAACAATACATTATATTGACAAAAATTGGAAATTTGTCAATTTCCTACTTGATCTAATAGATTTACCTCATCCACATACGGGTGAGGAAATATCAAATAATCTTTTATCCTCTCTCCAATCTTTTGGCATACAAGAAAAAGTAATGTCCATTACTATCGATAATGCAAAAAATTTCCTCTCATCTGTGTCTATAATGACAAAATTTTATATAGATAAATACGGTTATTCTCTATATAGCATTAGATGCCTGGCTCATATATTAAATATAATAGTGAGCTCAGGAATGAATATCATGAATGAAAAATTGGAAAAAATAAATAAATTCGTTAAAAAGTTGCATAATTCCCCCAAATTTATGAAGGAATATATGGAATTATCAGGTGGGACTCGTATACCACTTGATGTCGTCACAAGATGGAATTCCAAATTCTTAATGATTTCCATAATTAACAAAGTAATAACAAACACCATTTTTAAATTTAATTTTATATTTAAAGAATATTGATGTGGTAAATGATTTAGGCAAGAAAGGCAGCCTTCCTGATAATCAAATTATTATAAATAATGAAGAGGCCAAATTTTTAAAAGATATTGAAATATTTTTGAAACCATTCTTCAATATTACCCAAGAAATATCCTCAGATACAAATTCTACAATTGGTTCGGCAGTTTTATTTATAGATGAAATTGTCAAAACACTAGAAGATGTTAGTGAAAATCATGAAAACGAAACATTAAAAAATGCTGCTGCTGTTATGTTAAAAAAATCAAAGATATATATGAAACACATAAATACTCTTTCAAATTATATATCGTGTTTGTTAGACCCAAAGACAAAGAAAAAATTTTTGCCTAAATTTATAAATAATCCTGATTATTTTAAAAATTTCGAAACGTTATATATTAAATATAAAAGTACAATGTCAGGATCGTCAGCGTACGATTACAATGAGCCCGATATGGAAGCCATGCCTTATTCTGTGCGTATACATAATAAACTAAGAAGGTAAATATGATTACATAGTTATATATATATTGTCTTTATTATTTAGGGCTAATTATGAAATTCCACAACATGCCACAGATGAAATAGATACATATTTAAAAGAGGAAGTAGCTAGTCCGACAACCAATGTACTCGATTGGTGGCAAAAAAACAGCTCAATATATCCAACTTTGTCTTTAATGGCCAGAGACTTTTTGGCTCAGCAAACTACGAGTGTTGCCAGCGAAAGAATCTTTAGCAAAGCGGTGGAATGCATGACTAAAAAACGTAACCGCCTTTCATCCATCACTTTGAAGCAATGTTTATCTATTGATTGCTGGGACATAGAACTTTTATAATGATATTATATTAACATTTTTTAAATCTATATATTTCCGTGTATTTTAATAAAAATATTTTTATATTATGTGTACGTTTATTTATTAATAAATTGAATTAAATTAAATGCGTGTTCCTTTGAATTTTTTTTATCATAAAGAATGCAGAATATTTAGTTATTGAAGCGATATTTAATCATGGGTAAAAAAATGTGAAATAAAAATTTAAATAATTTTTAAACTTTTCGTCTTGCCCTGCCCATATAAAAAAATTTAAACCACGCTCGCCCCCCATATAAATTTAAACATGCCCATTCTTCAAATTTTTTACGCATCTAATAAAAAATAAATTATTTAGTTTCACCCTTACTAAAAATTTCATAATTTAGTAAGCATAAAAAAATTTCCGATTTAATTGATGATATTGCCAATTGTGTAAGTTTTTCCAAGGCCTTTTTAGAAATACCTTTACTATTTTTTTTCATCAAAATGTAGGAAGTAAATATTACACATCCAAAATAAGTTCTCTTTTCGCCGAAAAAAACAGTTCTGATGTTTATAATTTTATCAATCATAGGACGAAATGCTTCGACCCGATAATTGCAATCAAATCCTACAAGTATTTTTATTAACTCATTAATTTTTACGACGATAACATCCGAAACAGTTATCGATAATCTGGTATTTAAAATTTTTTTTATAAGCATATATTTTTTAATGTTTATCTAATGAATTTTAAATGAAAAATAAACGTTAAAAGTTTGTTAGCCTTCCTTGTGTTAAATTTTTCAAAGATCCGTTAGCACTTTTAAAAATTCGATAAATATTTTATATAACGATTATGAAAATTATCATTCCTATGGTACATATTCATTTATGTTTCATTTTTACATCTTTACAATATATATTTTTACCTATTTGTTTTAAAAAAATTCAAAAAAGTTCACAAATAACGATTATGACAATTGTCACTTTTCTATGATACATCTTCACTGAAATTATATTTCAACATCTTTACAATATATATTTTTACCTATTTGTTTTAAAAAAATTCAAAAAAGTTCACAAATAACGATTATGACAATTGTCACTTTTCTATGGTACATCTTCACTGAAATTTCATTTTTACACCTTTACAATATATATTTTTACCTATTTACTTTGAAAAAGTTCAAAAATAACGATTATGACAATTGTCACCTTTCTATGGTACATCTTCACTGAAATTTTATTTTAACATCTTTAAAATATATATTTTTACCTATTTGTTTTAAAAATATTCAAAAAAGTTCACAAATAACGATTATGATAATTGTCACTTTTCTATGATACATCTTCACTGAAATTATATTTCAACATCTTTACAATATATATTTTTACCTATTTACTTTGAAAAAATTCAAAAAAGTTCAAAAATAACGATTATGACAATTGTCACCTTTCTATGGTACATCTTCACTGAAATTTTATTTTAACATCTTCACAATATATATTTTTACCTATTTGTTTTAAAAAAGTTCACAAATAACGATTATGACAATTGTCACTTTTCTATGGTACATCTTCACTAAAATTTTATTTTAACATCTTTACAATATATATTTTTACCTATATGCTTTGAAAAAATTCAAAAAAGTTCAAAAATAACGATTATGACAATTGTCACTTTTTTATGGTACATCTTCACTGAAATTTTAACTTAATATGTTTACGATATATATTTTTACCTTTACCTATATATGCTGCTAACTAAAAAATCAACTTAGTCGACTAAATTAGTCGTTTTAGTCGACTAAATTAGTTGTTTTAGTCGACTATATTAGTCGTTTTAGTCGACTATGTTAGTCGTTTTAGTCGACTATATTAGTCGTTTTAGTCGACTATGTTAGTCGTTTTAGTCGACTATATTAGTCGTTTTAGTCGACTATGTTAGTCGTTTTAGTCGACTATATTAGTCGTTTTAGTCGACTAATTAGTCGTTTTAGTCGACTAATAGACTAATTTAGTCGCTAAAGTTTTTAGTCGATTTCCATGACTACGACTATTAGTCGTAGTCGAAAGAACTCGACTAATTAACAACACTAGTTGTAACACATTTCCATAATGTGAAAAAACATTCTTATATAGTTAAATAACTTTTCGTTATTATTGTAAAAAATGTTTTGATATAATTTAAAAAAAAAATTATTAATAATTAAAGTTTTAAAACTTTAATGAAGACTAACTTATGAAAATTTTTCAAAATTTTTCAAAATTTGAAAAAGTTCGAATATAGTTTTTTAGTAACTCACGGAAACTCGGGAAAATTTTTAATATTATTTTTTTTAAAAATATTTATTATTTATTTTGTTTTAATATTATTTTTATCAAAAAATAATAAATATGCGATCGCACAAATTTTAAAATTTAATATTTTTTAAAGTTATAACAATCTTAATGAAAATGGATATGATCATTGCTCGGTTAATCGCAGCAGAAACTTTATAGAAACAAAAAATATATCGACCCATGGTATTGAGCGTTTATGGAGGAATCTTAAGGCGAGCATCCCCAGAACTGGAAGAAAATCTTCCTCTCATTTATGTGAATATTCTTTTTTCGTAATATTAATGTCAAATTTAAGTAAATTAATTAAAATTTTAAATGACATAAATTTATATAGTTCCTTAAAATTTTATATATCTATATTATCAGTTTATATATTATGTTTATTCAAATAAATTGCTTAATTATCTAGTATTTGATTTAATAGTCCTAACTTAGTAGCATCCAATATAGCACACGCCTTTTTAAAATTTTTAAATAAATATACTCAATTTTTGATGTAAAATTAAATAATTATGAAAATTTTCACAAAAAATAAATTATAAACTTAATATCATTTTTTAATATAGCACTAGTGTTGTTAATCGGCTTAGCCGAGTCGGCTCGAACAGAGCTCACCCAAATTTTGGGTCGTTTTTTTCGACTCCAACTCAAAGTTTTGGTCGTTTTTTACGACTTCGACCCGAGTTCAAGCCGAAAAAAACGACTTCGACCCAAAATATGGGTCGTTTTTTTCGACTCCGACCCAAGTCCAAGCCGAAAAAAACGACCTCGACCCAAAATATGGGTCGTTTTTTACAACTCCGACTCAAAATTTGGGTTGTATTTTTCGACTCAAACTTGAAATTTGGGTCGTATTTTTCGACTCAAACTTGAAGTTTGCGTCGTATTTTTCGACTCAAACTTGAAGTTAGGGTCGTATTTTTCGACTCCAACTTGAAGTTTGGGTCGTATTTTTCGACTCCAACTTGAAGTTTAGATCGTA